TTTTATATTAGTTTAAAAAAAAAAAAAGGGGGGGGGGGGGAGGCCTGATCCTGTACATGTCCAAAGGTCGTGCTCACATGAGCTGTGCCATTGACAGTTCTTCTGACCTTAGGTTATGGGGTGAAGTGAGGAGCATGTCAGAGGTGACAGGAAGGTATTTGTGCTGCTGCATGCCATTGTATGCTCCATAGCCTAACATTTTGGGGAGAACTTCACACCTGCCTCCTCACATCTCCATGCCTGGTGTTGCCACATATTGCATGGCCTGCTGTAATGAGGGAGAGTTTTGTCTATTGGCAGGAAGAAGTGACTTAGCAAGACAGAAGAAAGGAGAGCAGATAGAAGGGAAGAAGTCTTTGAGTCTGATTTAGAGCCTGTTCAATCCATTTAATGGCTCCCTCCCACTTCAAGGGAGCCTTCAGTCAGGTTCTTGATGCAAGCACAAGCTAAAGCGTAGCCCAAGAAATACATGTCCCTGATAGTATGCACAGAAACAAAATTAAGAAGCCTCCCAAAAGAAATGTATTTTTACTGGATTCTTCCCCCTCCTTTTGGCTCCACATTTTTAAAAGCCTTAACAACTGTTTCTTTACACAGCAAGGGGAAAGATTTGCTACCAAACCCCCACCCCCACCGGTCTAGCTGTCTGCATCTCAGAAATATTTTACCGTCTGCAATGTAAAATGGGAATATGCTTCATTTTCTGGTAATGCATCTGCTGTTTTGTTGTTTACAAAGCACATAGCTACATTATATCCTATGTAGGGACACAAGTCCTCATAGCATTAGAATGCAAATATTTTCACAATAATTTGAGTGCAATACTGTGATGTCTCAGCTAGCTAAATGAATCAGTGACAGGTAAAATATGCAGAGCTGCAGTTTAATGAAAATTCAAATCAACACTTCACTGCATCGAGGGGCATTTTCATTTAGCCTTCCAAAACCGTGAAAAGTGGCTGCAGCTCAAAGTGACATCAGCTTTCCGAAGTCGCCTTGAGCATGAGGAGGGCCATCTCCAGCGATGCCGACTCCACACAATGCAAACAGTGAGGGTGCCGAGGCCGACTCCACTCTGCCCTCAGTGACCTTCAGCGATTTTGTCAGCCGTGCACAGCTCGAACAGAGATTGCTCCACTGTGCCCAAAGCCCAACCCCATACTCTGCCAAAAGGGGCAACATTCTGACCCACCACCTGATCCTGTGATGGGTGCTGTGAAGCACCCTACTCTCCCTCTCATCTCCAACCCATAATTTAGGAGTAGTCACAGGGAAGAGGACTTCTGAAAAGTGTTCCAAGCCTGAATCACAGGAAAATCCAAGAGACTTTCAGTGTATTTTGTGCTGCATTGCCACTCAGAGCAGCTGAAAAAAAAATACACAGCAGACCTAGGCACCTCTCACATCAACTCTTTGAAAATCCCCTTTAAAGCTCATGTTAAAAATGAAGCTACGCACTTTTTGCGGCAACAATTCACCTAGTAAATGGGGCATTTTGGGGGATGTACATCTGGCAGAGCTCTGGTAGCACGCAAGGAACGTAAAAACGCATCAGGGCCCACATCAGACACCCTTTCGTTTCCATTTGGCAAAGAGGCCCCAAACAACTCTCCAGTAGTTGAGGTCACTGACTGCAAAATGCTGTATCGCCCTGGGCTGGAATCACTGCAACACTTTTTCCTGCTGGTGGCAGCTCTGCTTTCTAAGTGGAATGAACTGAAGATATATGGAAACTTAAGATAAATAATCATAATAATACAAAAATGAAGTTAAGCATAATCTTCTCCCTGCCCAAGCCCTCCCCATCCAAAACTCAGTCACCCATTTTGTCAGCACCCCTTCTTCACCATCATTAAAACTTAAAATACTTTTATTTGATAAGAAAAATTATATTATAGTTTTCTTAATAAAAAACAAAATAGAACGAAAAAACTTCTCCAGTCGACAGCAAAGCACAAGACAGTAAGGCTCCTCCTCCCACATCACTGCGGGATATGGTATGAGCACATGCACAGAGCTATGCTTAACAGTGCCTAGAGGGAAACACAGCACTTGACACAGAAGGAATCCTCTGGGCAGCTGAAATTTTATGATCCCAGCCAGCACTTATTAGGAGACCACTTTTCCTTGCCTAGCTCCCACACACACTTCCTTTCACTATATAAACAAATGCAGCTAGTGTAGCTGCAGGGGAGGAGCCGTGGTGCAAGGAGGTACAGAGGAAACAATGACTGTAGCCACTACTGCAGATACACTGGAGCTTCAATATCTTAAAAACAACTCACTGACTTGGAATGTCAATATTTCTGTCTTTAAAACACAATCAAACCATTCTTTTGTTTATAACACCAAAAAAATTCCACATCCTGTCAAAAATAGCTTATGTCATTATGTGTATATACATCTTAGTTCAGCAAAACACTATTTTGGCAATAGATTTTTTTATAGTAAGAGCTCTAGCAAGTCTCCCCTTTCCCTCTTCCATGTGATTGATTTACAGTTGGTATTTTTGCATCTGTTTGGTTTAAGGTGTTCACCAGCTGGTTTTGCTGGTGAAGCTACGCTGCAAAAATTTCAGGGGCCAATGCTGCTCAAAACAGGATGGCACAGCACTTCATCTGCTCTGCTGTAGGTGGATTTACCTCCCTGAACATAGGGGATGGGGCTTTTGTTTTTTAAACAACACTAAAAATACAAAATACTCTCCGTTTTGTTCTGAGGAAAGCCAGAACTTCAAATGTGCTGTTGCATTCACACTGCGACTGAATTAGCTAGGACAATCAGTCAACAATGCTTTTACCAGATGATGTGGTCAGACACACCAGGTGAATTCTTCCACTGCTGGAGTCAATCACATCACCAATCTCTCCCATAGAGGAGGATTTCTTTCAGACGTCATTTTTTCCAGAGTTTAGGCCGGGTTTCTTTTCAGTTTGCTTCATTTGCCAATCTGATTAATGAAACCTGTTTTCCTTCAGATAGATTTGTCTATGTATTTTCAGCACTTAGTGCATGAGGAGGGGTGACGGGAAGCCAGCGCATAGAAGAATACAGTGCCTAATTGGTACAGTTTTTAGATTTTTGTTTTCCTAAAAAAATAGAGATTGTATTGCTACAGCTAATGATACGTGTAAGAGAGCAAGAGCTCCATCTTTTTTTTTTTTCTTTTTTTTTCGCTCCCATTTTTCCCTCTGGTGTGCAAAAGTAAGCTCCCAAATGTCATCTGATCAAAATGAGTGGTATCAAAAAATGGAAAAGGTGATTACAAACTCAGTAAGGTAGCACAGACTTTTTTTCTTTTCTTTCCTTTTTTTTTTTCCTTTTCTTTTTTAAGTGTTCGAAGTGCTAAAATTTGCATGAAAACAGGCACTAATTTCATTGTCATCATCATGATCTGGTAAGAGTTAGTGTCCAAAGGAAGATCAGCCACAAGTAAGGGAGAGGGGAGATAAGGAAGGGATAGCGTGCTCAGGGATCTGTGGCATTGATTATCGTTTTATCTGGAGGCGCCCATCCTCTATACCAGCTGCAGTAACCGTCCGCCCTCTGGATGCAGGCATAGTGCTTCGCTTGGTATCCTGAGTGGCCGAAGTTGGAGAGCATGTCTGTCCAAATACACTCACTCTTGGAGGTGGCAAAGCAGGGCAAATAGTAGCAGGGCCTAATCTGCAATTGTAAAAAGCAATCAGGTGAGGCTACATGGAACAACAGCAGCATATAAAATGTCTTTTTACCAGAGACAAGGGATTCAAAATTGCACTCCCTCAAAACTTGCTTACTAACGCTAAATTCAGCCTCAGTTCAGTAAGGATGTAAGCATGTGCTTAGCATCACATACACAGGTAATTCCAGAGTCAAAAGGGCTTTTCAGGTGCAGAAAAATTGAGTTTGTGTCTATGTTTTTGCAGGCCTGGGGCCATGAGCAAAAATCGTAGTGTCAGTGCCAGGCTGTGAGGTTTTAAGCACTCAAAATGTTTACACAGGAAAAAAGCTGGACATATCTTGCCAAGCCTCTGGTACCTGATTTCATTCACCTGCAAACGATTCTGCATGGATTCTGAAAGCCTTCCCAACCCCAATTACCTCCAACAGGGCATTAAAAAGGCATAGACTCTGCATTTTTATTTGATTCTCTCTTCTCTGGTCTCAACACTAAAGGTGAGCTTTACTTTTTCCCTGTAAAAAGTGTTGTCCTCCATTTCTCTTCCTGGCTGTTCACCAGCATCATTGGTATTACCAGCCAAGGGAAACAGAATTCTAGGGTCTGAATGTCTTAACACCACCTAATTAGAGATGCACATACCTTGCATCCACAGCCCAGATGATAACGATGATTCAGTCCTTTACGCTGGGACAGAGTCAGCCGGTCCCATTTCTCATACCAATTGCAAAGGCCAGTGTAAACCTTCCCTTCATACACACGGCCTTGAAAACAGAGACATAGTCACAAGTTAGCACTTCTCAGCTCAAGCACTTTTCTCGTTTCCTGAGATTGCTTAATGCTCTCAATATGTTTGGCTTCAGTCACTGCTCAGCAACTGCTTTCTTTTTATTAACTGGTTCAGGAATCTCTGGCCAGCAAGATTACAGCACTTCTGTAAGTTAGGAGTGTTGTGCCAGCTGTAAGCAACAGCAACAACATGCAGGTGAGTAATGCTGTCAAGCTCCTCTCAATAACAGAGCAAAACTAAGTGAATTGACACCTTCGCTAGAAACAAGACTTGGCAACTGCCACATCTCTATCTCTTTGCATCCCCCCATCTCAACAGCCTGCATTTCTCCAGCTCATTCCAAAAGGGATCTTCCATTTCTGGCACAGCTGAGTAGCAACCAGTTCCCTGTGACAGACATGCCAGCTCAGGCATGAATTGACAGCTGTGGACTGTCACACAGCATATTTGTCACAACATGGCTGGGTATAAGAGATACTTTAGGAAAGAGAGGGAAATCTAGAAAGTGAAATGACTCTCAGCATTAAAGAATACCGAACACCAAAATACTGTTGGCCATCTTAACACTTGGGAAACTGTGTACAGAGCTGTCTACACAGCTGTCCATGTCCTTAGCAGGTGTATGTATAGAACAGAAGAGGTTTTGATTATGAAGAAGTACACTGTCCTTTACCTGTAATCAGATATTGGTACTTGTTGACCTCCAGCTTGACTCCACAAAGACTCTCAGAGGCTTCTGTGTAGATGTACTGAACATGTGGCATTATCTGGAAGCCCCTGTACATCTAGAGAAACAAATAAAAATGCTTTAAGTCATCTTAAGATGACAACTTTTCACTTAGATTCTTTACAATCTATGTTCCTAGACTGTGGTGGCAAGCAGTGAACTTTTAGTCTTTACACAGGTAAAGGACTAATGACACTAGCTGGACTCTCCACAGTCTCCCCACCAGATCTGCTGGTAGAGGATACCCACCTGTTAACAAGCCATTGCAATTCAGCACAGGGACCACTTTTCCCCACTCGAATTAGTTCCAGCGGCACTGAGTGAGCAAAGCGCCAACATTCGAAGCTCTGCCAACATCCTGAAGAATTTTTTTCTTTGTATAGCTCATAATTAGGGAGAAATTAAATTACTTCAAGTTTGGAATCTTTCTCCTTCATGTGATCTAAACAATTTCTTCCGAACTAAGGGATTTTTCTTTTAAACAATGACCCTATTTTCCAGTGTTGCTGCTCTAAGAGTTTCAAACCTTTGGCGCTCGATCTAAGTCATCAAGCCAGACACTTCCTCCTCAAAAGCCTAGCATACGCAACTCCTGCTGACCTCAGCAAGGATTTAATGTTTCTCTAACTAAATGAATGCAGAAATAGAATTCTACCCCATCTCCTTTTTCGTAATCTTTCTTAAGTGGAAGCCAACATAGAGTTCAGTTTAATTGAAATAGGAACCCACAGATATACTGGTAGTCGGATTCAGTCAGAAATTAGCATGTGTCCCTATCTGACCTGACCTTACACCGCTGCAATTTAGGGAAACTCATGCACGCCTGTTAGTAGCATAATGAAGTCTGTGCATAGCAATGAAACAACCACTGCATGTGTACATTGGACCCAATAAAACGTATCCTAATTTTGAAACATTAATTGAGGATGATTTTCCTCCAAATTTCATCTTTAAAATTTGGTTATCTTTTCAAAGTATTGTCTCTCTTTCTTCCCCACCAACTGTATGAATGGCCAATGTTTAAAAGTTAAACAATAGGAGTCAGACAGAATCACAGTTTCAAAGCATTTCCCAGCCTATCCCTTCCCCTGTCAGCTTTATTGCTAGAGAGCACATTCACATTCAGTTTAACTGTAAATATTAAAGTGAGGCAAAAGAGGAAAAAAAATCCCAAACAATCCCAGAGATATAGATCCTTGCTGCTGTGTCACCTGAGCGGTGGCATTTTCCTCCATGCTGTATTCTATTTCTTGAAGTCCACTATTATCCCAGGATACATGTCCCCATTTGTTCATCTTTCACTATTCCCTCCCCTCCTTTAAAAACAACAACCCTTTTTCTTCTACAGAATTCATCTGTGCTATTCTTTCTGGTGCTAGCGGCCTGATTCATACCTCTATGAAGTCAGTGAAAGGATGTCTGTTGATTTAACAGATTTTATGGTAGGCCCAGATACTGCATATAGAAAACCAAAAAACTACTACTAATTCTGCTATGCTGAGAGGTCAAACTATCTTCTGGGCATCCACGGAATGTCTGCCAGGTTTTTTTTTCTTCTCCTTATATTACCCCAATCAGCATAAGCTTATAACAGTATCATAACTCAGTAACAGCACTGCTGTGTACAGTAAAAGACATGCTAAAGGGTTTGCATTTTCCAGCCTTCCTTCCACACCCAGCAAATATGCAAGGAAAGCATTTTTTTAAATTAATCATACTGTATCAACAAAAGCTTACAGATCATGTTTGGAAGACACCATTGTGTCCCTAAGTGTGCAAAGTCTTTCAATGAATATGGAAGAACTGAACCTTGCCCAATCTCTGCTTTATTCCTGTAATTTTCTTGGTGTGGAATGATCTACTCAGATTTTCCAATTATGCTCAAGATAGTTGGAGATCTAGGTTCTGGCACAAGCATCCTGTCTGTCCTAGATGAGTTATTTAGCCCTCAGTACACTTTTGTTCCTTCTCTGTAGAACAGCTCTGCCTTGCTTCACAAGGGTACTGTGAGGAAAGGCACAGAGAATAAAGATCATGTGTTCAGACCCCATTCTAGTGGGCGTCACACCAAGAAGCTATGATAACAGTATCTAAGCAGATAAGACTAGCTAAGATAACATCTGGGGCTGCCCAGTCTCTCCAGGCAGTGCATTATCTACACTGCAGAGAGCTGTATGCTGTGCATGTGCAGTACAAGTGATCTGTCACTCAGAGTGCTAAGCTCCAAGTAGTATTGGGCTAATTAAATACCTGTGCTATAAAATCTACATGTGCACAGGCACACTTTGAGCCCATTCTCCCCCTTGCAGAAAGGACTACAAGCTAGACTAATCATTCCTCTGAGAAGTTGCTCAGGCCCTTCCTACAGGACCCTTACAGTCGTCACTCCTCGCATCTTCTGCACCATCAAGCTCAACATGACTGCCTATGAAGTAACTAGTGATGCTGAACTGGGGTTTGTTTTTTGACTCCTGGACCTAATTTCCTGTTCACATTACCATCAGGAACACCACCATCAGGGTTGCTGAAGGAAGCATGCTCAGCTTCTCAAAAAGCACTTTATCTCACCCCTCAGTGACCCTCATCAATGCTAGCAACTGTCACGCTAATTGACCCAGTGTTGGGGGCAGACAGGGCCTGCCTCATCCTCTGATGACTAAAGAAAATTCACCATGACCTTGGTTCTCAGGTGAGTAAAAAGAAAATTTGGCAAGGGGGAATCTTCTACAGATGCCCTCTTTCAAAACAAATAAAAGAATACCTTAAGCATTATTTTTGGGTACACAAAATATCCTGGAAGTGCTACTAGACCAGTCAGAAGAAAACCAACCATAAAGCTAGCCTCTCTCCTAACTGCTACCCTCGGAGTCCTCCTGTCGCCACAAATGTATATTTTTGGAAGCGTAATGACAGGGAACAAAGTATTAGCAAGCGTCACATGGTGGTGCCTGCTAGTGCTGCTCTATTTCCAGCTGTGTCAGCATTCCCCTTAGCAGCCCCCATACTGCCTCAGAAATGCACATGCAAATCCTGTGGTGGTTCCTGCTGCATGATTAACTTCACCCTGTAATACAATGTTCCTCCCTCTATCCCTCCCATGTGAGGTCACAGTAGATAACAAGGCTTGGAGTCATCTTGCCTAACCTTCAGCTACCTAAAATTTAGGCGCTTCATATGAATTAGGCATCCTCTCTAGTCAAACACCAAGGACGGGCACCTCCAGAACAACTCAGCCCATCCTAAAATAGCTGTCTACAACTGGTGGGCTGAATTATGCTTTGGTGGTTCTTGTCTCTCTCCACTGACAATCAAGAGAGCAGGAAAGACTCAACACCTCATTTTAGTCTGTCTAAAATTAAACTAAATTAATCCCACCCCACTTCTTTCCTCTTGGGACTATCAGGTTTCATCCCTTAGACTCACTTTACAGATTAGCAACAAACCAAGGAAAGCCTCCTTGCTTCTGGCAGCCTGTGCAGAGTGCTGCCATGGTCAACCAGGACTGTTTGTGTACCGGGAGCAGAAATATCTTATCTCCTTGTTTCCTTTGCAGTTTCCTGAAATAGGTTTGGGCCATTCTCAGAATGTACTGCAGCATCACAGAACATGGAGGGGTTAGATCAGTCCTGTGCAGATTTTTGACATGTGATCTTGAAATATTCTTAAATTATTTGAGAAAGCAGTGGGGGAAGGCAGAGGGTGCTTGAAAAAGCACAAGGCCTTTTCAGACAACAAACCTGAATGCTAGAAAACCTGGCACTGTTCTGTGCTTGTGGGCTGACCTTGTGCTCCAGTCCAGGCCCCAAGCTGGTTTAGTCATGAAATTCAGCAACGAGTTCAGGAGTGTTAGTGAGAGCAAGAATCAGCCGCAGCAAACTCCAAGGAACCCATGAAAGTAATACAAAGATTGTTTGTTGCCTTTTAAGGCTCTCAATCCTTTTCACAGGCAATTCAGTACACACTGATAGACTAAATGACTTGTTTATTTTTCATCTGCAGGTGCAGATGGGTTTATAGGTGGCCAAAAAACACTGACGTTAATTTTATCTTCAGAGTTGTTCCCATGCAGCTGTACAGAGCCATAGGCCTCCTTAGTTTTCTTTTCAGCAGGAGGACAGTCAGCTTTCATTGGAGCAAGCAAGGGAGAGATTTGCCGCACCACTCTGAGCTCCCTCACTGCATGGAGCTGAATCCCTCTTTATACTGAAGTCTCTTAAGCTCAGCAGAAAGACAGCAGGGTTTCAAAGAAGACACTTGGTTTGTTTGTTTACCAAGAACTATGTCCTCCGGACATTCCAGCTCTACTGAGCACTTTGACTGCTTCAGGTTCCTTCCTGCCAAAGGTCACAGTTAAATGTGCAATGCAACATCTCACCAGCCCACCATCTATGTAGCAGGCATAGAGGCAGTTTGACCAACACACCATCTCCCCTTCAAAATCACTCTTGCTTTTGTTGGACGCATAGCTTCCTAACAAAACACTGTGGAACTGCTCCTGCAAAAAGGCAATTTTTCTCTTGTGGTCTCAGCACGAGGACATTGCAGATTACTGTAGTATCTGCTGTAAACACCCTGGCCCTGTACTGCAGAATAACCCAATGAAAACAGCCAGGACAGGCTCAGGAGTTTTATTTAAAGATTGACATGATGGTGTCAGTCATGATGGTAGAGTGGCTGCTGCTCCACTCAACAAGCTCGCCTTGCCTGGGCTTATGCTCCTCCCCATGCCAGCAGACACATAGAAGCCTTTTCTATTCATAGCAGGGACACTACTGCAAACTCCCAGGTCAGAGGAGGAATGCTTAAGGCTGTTCCAGAGATCTCTGACACTGCAGCTCACTGGCTGACAACAGGGCAGGCTGTATCATTAGTTAGGAGAGAGGCTAACGTTATGGTTGCTAAAGGGTAATAATTCATTTTGAGGACTACTGTTATTCTAGATCACCACTGGACCCTGTTCATGGTCATATGTTAGAAAGGAAGCACCAAACTCTTGGAACTGAGAAGGACAAAAAGTAGGGGTCCTGGACAGACATGGACAAAATCAGAAAAAAAAAAAAAAAAAAAAAAAAAAAAAAAAAAAAAAAAAAAAAGATTCAATGAAGCCACTGCAGCATGCAGACATTGAGTAGTTTCGTGAAGTGGGGTACCCTGACTGAGCTGGAGATTGACAAAGCTGCACAAGAACTACACAAAGTGCTGCAAGCCTGATGAGGCTAGGGCCGGCCAAAAAAAAAAAAAAAAAAAAAAAAAAAAAAAAAAAAGGTGTGGCAGCATTGTCTCACTGTTGCCAACATAGCCAGGTGCCTTTTTTACAAATACAAGTTAATTAACAAATATATACATTTCCTTTTGAATCTCAAAAAGAAATTTTTAAGATGAAGGAAATTAGTAAGCCCAGCACCTCACACCCTCTTACTCAAAGTGCAAGCATTCCACTCTAGTGGAAGAGCCATGCCAGGACCAGATTTGGCTACGTGTGTGGTTTTGCGACAGCTTATGAAACAGGCTTTGCGTCTCCTCCTCCCAGCTTTCGTGCTTAGCTATAAACTGCCTTATAAAGAGAGTTACTGTTACGAGGCAGGCAAGTGACTGTTTTTTTCTGAACCTTTACTTTGTCTAATATGTTTCAGATTTCTGCAGTCTCTGCCAAGCTTTTCCATTCCCTTTTTTTTTTTTTTTTTTTAAGACATAAACCAGTCTTATGACTGGAATGGCATAGCCAAGAAAAACAATCTAGGGCTGATTTTTAGCATTACATAACAAGGGGTCAGTTTAAGGAAAAAAGCTAGGTCCAAAGCAGCAGGTTGACTGCAGTTTGTGCAGCAAAGAATTAGAGCTCTGAAGAGAGGAAGTCGAGAAACCAAGCCACTGGTGTAGGAGATCTACCTCTTTTCACCTCGGAGCCAATACTTTATAGCTCTTCTGAGCTGATGATATTTGAAAGCTACAGTGTGTGGTTTAGCTTTATATAAAGACTTCACTATACGAGTTTCATTTGTTCTGTACATGGAAAAAAATGCCCTTATTCTAACTGGTGGTCACAAAGAATGCAAGGGAAGAAGAGATGAAAGACCAGTCTCCCAAGGCTGGCAGACCCCCTACCACCACCACATCTTGAATTTAATGAAAGCGCTGCGTGGAAAGGCTTGCATTTCCACAGTCTAACACTGTGTATGTTGAACACAAGCAGGACTCCAGTATCTAAAGCAGCCCATCTGGCACCTTATACTACCAGAAATTTTTAAAATAAAGGAAGAATTCAGGTATTTAGCATTGTATGTCAGGAATGACCTCTTCCTGTTCCTTTCCCCTCTCTAGGCAAATTTCTACCAATTGCTGGTTACCTTCCATTCTGGCTGACCAATACGAAAAGTTGAGGTGCTGCTATTTTAAGTATGCAAACTCTGTTTGTTATTACATGTTAATTAGAATCATTATCATATCTACAAGCCTATGTGAAATGTCTGCAAACATACCTTCATCTGCTTGACTGTGTATCGCATCGTTCCAAACGGTCCATCTTTCATGAGCTTCTTCCCCACAACTTTAGCTCGGATCACTGTCATAAGAGAGGAAAAATAAAACAAATTATAAACAACTTTACACAACACTTAGGCTAGACCCTCCACTTCAAAAAAGCCACTTAGATAAATTGTTCTGTAAAATAAAACAAAACTCCAGGCCAACCTTCCTCTCAATTTATTCTAAATTTCACACACAACGAAGGCATGTAAAATGGGATGCCAAAGCAAGTATTTATTTAGAGGAAATCCAGTTCTGTGTGAGGAATAAGAACAAGCATTATTTATGTTGAAATCTCACTGAAATCTGCAAAGCAGACTATAGCTGGGACCAAGACAGGTTAAAATCTTTGCACCAAGCCACTGGGATAAAGTTCATATTTAATGTCTTAACTCTTAACATACGGAATGATGTTCAACAAGATACTACTTCTAAATTGTTCTTTGGGTGCCCAATGCAGCTTCTGTTTCCCAATAACCATAACAGTACAGCACAGCACACTGGAATATCCCATATCTGGGGACTTCACTACAGCTGCCACCTTTCAGATACCACAAAACTCCCAACAAATGGCTCCCTTGAACAAATGGCTACTGTGCAAAAACAGATTGTTCAGCAACCATCAAGCCCACAGTGAAAGCTGCCAGGCCAGCCAGAAGCCACCTGGAAGACAAACTAAAGCTGACCCATCAGACCTCACGTACACGGCACTTCATTTCTTCATGGATACTAAGGGGCAGTGTGTGTGCGCGCATGTACGCAGCATCCAGCCTGACACCGATACCTCCATTGTACCACAGACACCACAGCAATGCCAACTGAGTCCAAGCCATCATAGATAAGGTTTTTGAGGTCCCTCAGATGGATCTAGTGGGTAGTTTACAGTCAGTGCTTAATGAAGAGTTCTCCTGCTCATCTGTTTTTGGGGCATTCCACAAAAAAAACCTGCTGTTCCATCAATCCTCTTTGAATAAGTTTTGCAATCACCTGCTCATCTCAGCAGAGGAGCAAGGCTTAGTGACAGGGCAGGCATTATTCAGCTAAAGTCCGCTCCCCTAGAACAATCGTTATCATATTATACAAGCACCAGAAGTGGCTTAATTTTTACAAGAGCTGCAGAAAATGAGATTGGAGAAGACCAATCCTGGAAAGAATAAGGATCACTGTTAGAAAACCCTGTACCCCAAACGCCACCCATACAAACATCAGGACAAAAAATTAAACAAGGAACTCAAAATTCCATCAATCAAGAGAAACATCGAAACTACAATATAATCATGCAAATCTTACCTAAAATCTTATTCATCGAGCTTCTCATTACAAGGGCTATGAAAATATTTCCAGTAGAATAATCCAAAGAATGCAACATACTCGTAACACAACTGACAACGTAGCAGTTTTATATAAATCCCCCAGAAACCCCTTTTTTGAGGAAGAGATATCAGATACTTCTGCAAAAAGCTTGTATCAGTACACCATTGCTAACAACACACCTCTGCTGAATATATGGCCCAATGGTTCCAGACTACTGAAATCCAGCAACTATAAAGGACCACATGCATCATTTCCTCTGAGCCTATGAAGGTCCTGACCATAACTCCCTGCACAGGACAGAGGTACTGCTTTCACAGCAACCTTTTGCAGCATTTAATCTGTGTTTTGCTGCATGTATCATATTAATGCATCACAGAAAACAATTCATTAAAAAGCAGGAAGGCATGGAAGGGTGACAAAGAGGTGGAGGTACTCCTTTGCAAGCAGGAAAACCTAACGAGTTATTAATGAGGCAAAAAGCTGTCCCAGCTTTCTGAATAGTCTGAAGAACAGATTTAAAGGAAGAGACAGGTCTGGTTATACACACCAGTTCCTGCAACTTTGTTCCATGAGAATGGTGTGAAATGAAGACAAACTCACTCTGCTCTGATTTATATCCTGTGCTTCAGCCAGACTTGTCAAATAAATTTTAAACTAGGTAAGACAGTCCTGCTGGCTTTGATTCAAAAGACCAACAAAACCTTCATTCATTGAGTGTAAAACTTCATTCTTAATTTTTTTTCAAACTTCTATTATCCAACGGCAGTAAAAGTCAGTACAATTTTATTGATTCTTCTATTTAACAAGTTGTTCAGACTTCGATTTACTCCCTTCTTCAAAATTTAGTAGCTATACTGAAGCATGTCCTTGAGGACTACAAATACCTTTAAAGAACTAAGTTCTTCCATTTGTTGCCCCAAACTACCACCACCACCAGTGAAGCTACAAAAACCAGACTGCCTAAGGGTCAATGAGAAAGAACACAATTTCTTTTCAGCTTTGTGAATTCTAGGGCACTTCACTAACACTGGAGTCTATAGCAAAGGGTGTCAAAAGTCTTATCTTAATCTATTGCATATCTGACACACTGAAATTAAAAAACCTGGTGTTTGCCCAACACATCTGAAATCAACAATGAAATCTTATCTCTTATTGACAATGATAAGAAATATACTAAAGGCAATGTTGCAAAACTCTAGGGTTTCCAAACCAGAACACGGTTAGCATAAAAGATGACAGTCACATTCCCAATTGCTGAGAAAGTATCTAAAAACCCATTTTCTTCATGTACTTCACTGCTAGGTTGGCAGCCCTTTAACTTCTAGTTAGAGTAGCACAGCCACTTCAGAAAGAAACCAACTTTGATTTATGGACTAATCAACAGCTTCACCACAGGACCAAAGATTTGAAATGCACATCTACACTGGCATGTAACAGCATCCCAATTTCAACTAATGCTACCCTTGCAAGCAGGTGGAAGGATCTGTATTTTCTTATTATTGTTCCCCAATGAAGTTAGAGAAGAACAACCGTCCTAGCAAATTCACCTAGTAAAAACCATGAAAAACCTTAGTGTGGGCCGTCACTTCAAGCCTTTTGCAAATGGGTCAAAGCCCTCTGTATCTCAGAGAAGTTGCCTTTATCACCCAAATAGTAACTTTTCTAGGTAAGTTCCTTCCTTTACCAAAAAGCTAGGAATGAACGAAGAACCCACCCTGCCTCATTTTTCCCATACTAAAGGAAAAGTCAAGCTGTTAGCCAAGGAGCAGAGGATACTCCAACTTAAGTCTACCCCCTGTATTTTGTGAGGCTAAATTCCCACCCCCTGGGGATTAGATGCGTCTGGGTAACTGGAGAGAAATGCCGGATGGACAGGACTGCTCAGTTTGCTCTTGCATGTCCAGCTTCATCACCCTAAGCCTCCACGCATGAGAGCCACTTGCAAATTTGCCCAGAACAGAGCTCCAAGCTGCAGATCTGCAGCCAAATGTTTCCCAGTTCCTGTCTTTGCTCCTTCAAACCACCTCTCACCAGTGATACTGCTGGACCACTCTTCACACCCAGTCAGAAGATAAAGAACATTATTCCTAACTTAGCAGGGGCCATGCATACTTGCCAGAGGAAGTTTTCACCCTCCGCAAAGCATCAGAAACCTACAGTATTTCTGCTGCAAATTCAGTCCGTGTTACATTAACAAAGTCAACTGTTTACTTCTGGGGACTCCTACTGCTTGAGCAGAATGAGGCAAAAGGTGCTGTGACTGCTACCCTGAACTCCTTCCTTCTCCCTGAAGCTATATTACAGTCCTGCTATTACTGATGGGAAACTTTATCCCACACAAGTGGTCACCAAAATAGCTGCATATTTTTAAACCACAATTCCTTTGAAGTCCTGCCTATGAAAATACTCCGAGATGAATGTTTCTCAGTACTTTGGGGTTTCAGGTCGGGTCACTTTGTGGGACTGCAGCAGTTGGCAAGGTCTCATGAGTGATTTGTAATTATTTATGAAAAGTTAAATTAGATGAGGATATAAATCTTGATAAGATAAGCATGGCAGCCATACCGTGATTCAAAGAGGAGAAACATATGCACTTCTTCTCAACATTTGACATGGTTAAAAAAATGAGGGAGAGAACAGAGAGAAAGAAAACCAGATATTTAGTTGATATTCTAAAAAAAATTACTAAGAAAATAACAACCTGCTGTGTTTGTTAGATGTATCTCTTGAATCCTCAATGTATCACAAATGATTAATGTATTTATCTCTTTTCCCTTGCCTTTTTTTTTTTTATGTAAACTAGATTAGTGCTTAGGAAAACAGAGATGGCTCAGATTTACCAGAGGACTAGTATAGCGCAAGCAGCTAATGGTTTCTATTTCACTGGCATCTCTAGCGTGGTACAAACTATCTGCATGTGAATGTGTACACACAAATACACACAGAAATCACATCTTTTTCCAAATATCACTGGATGAGGTCTTATAAAAGGCAAACAAATCAGAATGGGCATAGGAGAAAAAGGCCCTATGCACTTTTATTTGCCCAAATGCACACATATCTAACTAAAGTACTCTAACTTCATCCCTTACTCTGTGGCCATTTTCTCAAGGACTCATAGGAAGAATAGGCCTAAAGGTAAGATATGAAGCAGAAGGGGACACTGGCTTTACAGCTGAGATAGCAGAGGGCATTCTTTTCATGAGGCAAGGAGTAGACAAACAGGCAATGACCGATGTGAGGAAAGTGGACATGTGAGATTAAGACAAGCATTTGCCAAGCTGAGGAAACAACATGGTGAAAAGACTTGTAATTACCAAGTCATTTCATCTAGGCACACGCTAGCTATTACATGTGTAGTAGCTCTTTTTCCCAACTGAAAAGCAAAGGCATCAACTGTCTTAGTTCAATCAAGCCTGTGTCCTTTATCGGGGCCAGCCACTAGATGGTGACACTATCACAAATCTCACCTTACGTTAACGAGAGGGCAGTGGTACATGCACAACCTACCACCACGAATCCCAATTGCATGCCCAACTGCACCATGAGAACCAGATCTTTCATGCAAGTGGGCTGATTGTCATCCATGAACAGTATCTTAAGTGGAGGCACACACCCTGTAGAGACCACGATTTGCTCCAAACCCATTTCCATTGTGACCAATTTTCATGAATGGCTCAGGAGAATAACAAATGTTACACTTCTCATTATTGTTTCAAGGAT